TCTCTAGCTTTTCGGGCTGCTTTTTCTCCTGGAATAGCTCCTCATGCTCGGCCCACTCCTCGCGCATCTTTTGTGTGGTATACTCCTTGAGTGATTCACTCAATTTACGCCGCTCCAACATGTTGTCTGTGTGCCTGGAGGATGCAGTGAAGCAATCGAATTAGCAAATTGATATTTGTGATGGAGAACAAGATTTCTAGCAAAGCTTTGACTACCTGCGGTGCGTATAGTCAGAGGCCTGATTCTCGAATTTCTTACTGCCCTCGATGGCAATTTCCTTTGGCTCCTCTTTGGAGAGATCAATTGAGTTGCGACGCGGCATCGGCAACGGTATTTGCAAATCATCGCTAGCGGTTCTATAACATAATGATAATGATGTTTTAATGTAGCTAGCTGCAATTTAGCCAAATGAAATTTGCAAACAGAATGACCACCTACTTGTCACTTGTGCGCATATCCTCGAGTGGATCTATGCTCTTGTTGTTCAGAGATTGCAGAAAGCTCTTTGGTATGGGTGAAGTGGCTAGATTGGCGGGCAACTCATCATCGTCGTCCTCCAGGCATTCTTCCACAAAGAACGCCTCACCCGAATCGCCCAATTTCATTTGTATATCAACGGGCACGCCATTGATTTCAATGTCCACCTTAAAAGAGAAAAGTCAAAAGTCTACTATTACTACCTGTTCTCTTCGTCTATATTTCTGTCCTTTGTTACTTACCACCTTCTCGCGACTGCGCAGCACGCCCAGCTTGCCGAAGCGCACGTGGAAGGGCGAACAGACGAATTCGCCATCGGGCTGCTCTACGGCGATCACATCGATGGCTCCAGTCAGTGTGGCCGCATTGATGTCATTGTAAAAGTCTTGCAAATTGCTAAAAACGCGCGCCAAACTGTTCATTTTGCTTAAACTTTAATAGTCGTCGATATGCGCACACTTGTATCTTCTATCGATATCGCGTTGGATTCGATTCAATTCGATTTAATTCTTATTTGCTCTTAGATCGTGTGCGTGTTTCTTCCGCCTTTAATTGTATGTGTGCCAGTGTTATTAATAAGTATACATTTTATTGCACGTGATGCTGTTGCTGGCGTCCAGTTCGCTTTGCTGGTGAATCAATCGTTGGCAACTGTAAATGACAGAAAAAACACAGCTGTAAGTCATACACTGATTTATTAAAATATTATGTACATATGTATATGTATTCTGATTCTCTTTCCGTTATGCTTATAAAAATAAACCCTTGCGACATCTAGCCAAATCATTTGTGACATTTCAAATGTAGCGAAAACAAGTGCAATAAATGCAAAAGATGAAAGCAACAAGAAATTGGCTAAAAATACTCTTATTTTTATTTTGTTGTCGCTAACCGTTTTCAATTTGCGCGTGTCTTCCTTCTGCCGTGCTCAGAAAGTCAAGGTTAATGCATTGCGAATGCAAGCAAAACAAATACGAAGAGCGAATTATGTGGAAGGCGAATTTGTTCGAATTCGCTTTGGGTGTTTATGTATATATTTTTGGTGCAGACCATATTGGGTATATATTGTGTAATATTTGTCTTTATGTTAAGAGCGGGATATCCAAGTAACATAGCGTATATATATAGCGATACTTTAATTAATACAAAAATAAACATCAAAGGGAAAGCCTGCCCGCGCAGTACATGTGACATTCAAAGTGCATTCACTGGGCTTATTTGCTTCAGTACAACAATAAAGTTCACGGGCAAACAATAACTCTACGCAGGTACATATAACTGTAATGCTTGTTGCCTTTAGCAACAGCAACAGAGCTTTCTGTATATGGCTGTGTGTGTACGCGTGCATACCTATGCAATTGTTATCGATAAAAGAAGATGGTGTGATAGTTAACCGTTTTAGTGGCGTGTTTTACCGATTTTATGCTTGTGTGTAATAAAACAATAATATCGCAGAGAGACACACAGGCACAGACACAAACTCACACAAACACGCTTATTACTCATTTCTCATGCCACTGGAAATAAACATCACGCGATTTCACAAGACGGCATTCAAAGCAAGCACACATACATAATAAATACATTCATAGATTTGTAAATTTATAAAAAGCAAAATATTGTGTTTATCAGCTTAGTGACATGTTGATTGAGCTGTGCGTTTCACAGTATATATGTAGGTATGCGTAGGTAAATCGTGCTCAACTTCTCTACAGACCACTAACGCACACATGCAAAGTGTTTGGCGTTTAATAATTAGAATTTGCCCGTCTACTGTTAAGGTCAATGTACAACTGTGTTCAGCAACTTTTTTATTTTTTGTTTAGCTAGATTTTTGTTTTATTTTATCATTGAACTTTTATTGTTTTTGCTTATCGCGCAGGAAACGGTCAAAAATATTATGAGGCCTCTATTATTCTTGCACTTAGACATGTTCGTCGTGTAGTTGATAAGAGTTTTGATAAACGCGCTTTCTTTTGTTGAATTGACGAATGACAACTAGGGCTGTTAAAATTAGCTATATTTAGTTCATCTCCAATGGTAACGCAGACAACACGCCACCTATCACGCGTCGTCGGCTTCGGCGTTACTTTCACCTGCAAACAAAACAAAACGCAACTCAACGCAACGTGCGAAAAGCCCCAAGCAAAACAAAACGCATACAAAAAAACTTGCAAATGAAAAAGCTTGTGCAAGAGAGAGAGAGAGCGAAATAGATAACAATGCAATTACTCGCCGCAGCAACAACTGTTAGCGAACCAGACGGTGTTCAAATGGGCAACGCGAATTAGTCGCAAGCAGCGCAGCGGGCCAACCAATTGACGTGTATTAAACAAATTTTTAATGTTTGTGTTTATTTATTAGTCGCAAAGTTGCTTAGTGAATTGTGTTGAGTCACGATCAAAGTCCAAGACATGCACACACACTCTTATGTATTTAAAACAAGAACATGAACATGAACAAAGTCGAACAATTTTGTGTGCCAAGAAAAATCACATTGAATTGCACGTTTCTAGTATAATGGAAATTTTATGTGTCCGCTACCTTCGTTGCCTTTTTTTTTGGTCTTTTGGTTTTCTTCTTTAAAAATCTATTTATTTCGCTTTTGTGGTTTCCTTTGTATTTTTGTTGGATTTTCAAGAAAAACTAGGAAGACCAGATTAGGCCTCACTCTATTTCTGCAGCAGCAGCACTTTAAATTGTTTGCTGTAGTTTATAAATTTGTTTTTTTGTTGGCACAATTTCTGTTTAGATCTGTACAAAATGTTAACAAGTTTTATTTTGTTTCTTTTTGTTGAACGGCTTTATTTTCAAGTCTTCTCCGTCTTGCTTGTCGCTTCGACGGCAGCGTTTGCACAACTGAATGCTAGAGCTACGACAGCGCCTCTTTGTACTCGACGCGAGCAGCAGCCCAAAGCTAATTCAATTAAGCAGCTGTCTGTGCATGTGTATGAGTGGGAGAGCGGCGTGCACGTTGCGCGCACTGCTTAAGAGAAAAAGAGCTTTCCGTTGTGTTTGTTTGATTGAAGAAGAAGAAGAAAAATAGAAAACCTGTAAAACCGGAAAGTATATCTTGTAAAAACATTGTTCTTGTCGTCACAAAAAGTTGTTGCTATGGTTGGTTGCTGAGCAGCTGTTTGGGAGCATTTTGCTGGATTGTCTTTTTCGTTCTCTCTCACCCATTCTCATTCAGTTGCTCTTTTCAAATGTACACAACAAGAAATTTAATAACTGTGCTTATCAGCTGTGCCTTAAGCAGCTGCTGTTGTACATTTTGCAATTGCAGTATTTTACGTACATGTGTTTATATGTACTTGTGTGCGTGAGTATGTGTAATAGGGATTGACGGGGATGACTTCGTGTCGTTCGATGTTGCATTCGATAAATAAAAGCTTTTAAACTAACCGACCGACAGGAAATGGCTATATGTATTTAGTATACACATGTACACATGAGTGTATGTATTTATGTATGAATGGCAGCCGTCAAGAAAATTCGATCAAGAGTCTAAAACGCACGTGCTCACGACCTTCTCGTATTTGCGAAAAAAAAAGGAAAGAATAATATAAATTCTGAATATATACTCGAAAAATTTGTCACAGTTTTGTTCGGCGGAATCTTTTCTGCAAAATGTGTCTACAAATTGTTGCCGAGTGCCAAATGATAAATAATACATAGCTACACTGAGGGAAAAGATAGAGTAAAAAAACAAAAACTTACCGTAAATATAAGTAAACAAAAAAATTTAATTGAAAAGAAGAAAACTTAAAATCAATTTTAAATATTTTATAGATTTATTTATAGATATAAATAATAACTCTAAAGACAAATGCGTAATTATGTACATTGAACATATTGATCCGCCTTGGCCGTACAGCAGAAACATTGTCGTCACAAAAAGTTGTTGCTATGGTTGGTTGCTGAGCAGCTGTTTGTGAGCATTTTGCTGGATTGTCTTTTGCGTTCTCTCTCACCCATTCTCATTCAGTTGCTCTCTTCAAATGTACACAACAAGAAATTTAATAACTGTGCTTATCAGCTGTGCCTTAAGCAGCT